TTTACACTATATAGAGTCTGCTGCCGGATGAAGGCACAGCGATACTAGTTGTGCGAAAGCAGCGCTACACCAGTGTGCTGACTCAAACGATATGAGGTTCACCAATTCAGTCCCCAAAACGGTTACACCAGATTATTGTGCAACCGGTATGGTGCTGGCAGTCTAAGAACAAATGCAAAACGTGCTCTGCCCAGCGTTTCATGACATAAGTTGATACAGGATGCAAAACAGAAATATGGATTTATATATTTGTCTATGTTTTCTGTGCTGTTAAAAATACGTGAAATTTAACCATGGTTCTTGTCAAACTACAACATATAATCAATAAGAGGAAAAAAATTGTTATAGTTGTCAAGAGTAGAACGAACTATGATGTAAATATAAAGCATTTCAGCGATAGACGCCTGGACGGAATCAGCCACGTAAGTCAATGTAGATTTATCCGGAAGAAGGTGATGTATACAGTAGTGCAATATAGTGCAATACAAGAAGGTAGCGAAAGACTTGTAGAATACCACAAGAAATATTTTTGGAGCGGTAGTTCTCGGACATTCGCGTGCAAAACTAATACTTCGATGCATTTACAATTATGACCCTTATACGTGCTTAACTTTAATGCAATAGTCACTCATACGCAAGTAATTGTTATTCATATGGTATATTATGTATTGTTATTCATATTGTATATCTTATGGATGCGATCGGAGACCACGACTCTAGGGAGTTAGCTATTTCTCAACAGTTTGATTTTGCGCGCAAATCATAATTGGGATGGTCGAATGTGTGTGTGTACAAGCGCATATATATGTTCTAAAAAATGTGTATAGACTCCCTATCGGAGATAACTCCTTTGTCTCAAAAGCTTTCACGAGCGCTTTTGTGTTTGCTACACTGCTAACTACAACATAAATTTGAAGTACGGAAGGAGGCAGCGCCCGTTTCTCGTCCGTAGAATTACGATCAAATTTTCAAGAGCGCTCCTACCAACGACTCTTTCGAAGAAGCTCTATTATTTTTGCTGATAGGCTTGGACGGTGATTGCAATGAACATTGACTCAGTGATTGTTAATAAGAATTACGCCAGATTATATCTTCCTGAATGCAAAAAATGAACCATCCAGAGTGTACCACAAAAAGCACGAAGCGGTTAAACATTGTCAGCTAAGCTTTAAGAAAAGTTTTTGAGATGCTTTTCAGGTTTTAGCAAGCTTGTAAAGGCGGATAAAAAGGAAGAAAGATAGAAATTTTCTGACGAAGCTAGTTTGGTTATATTAAAGATTTGCTCTCATTTAATAATTAATAGATGTATATTTCATGCAACAGATATGAAGGTATTGTGCTTTGTAAAATCAAGTAAGCCAACATGTATGCACCTTCATCTCATTTGGTAGAGTCTCCCTCACTTCATCGAATGATACAAGATGATCAATCCGGGTTTATCCTCACACTGCCGCAAAAACAGTGTTGAGTGCCAATGTCCGAGAACTTTTTTCAAAATTCCAGAGAGGTCAATCAATACATCCAATTACATTTTGAGCAACAACAGCGACGATCAAGGAGGTGGAAGAAGTTGCTTTGATGCGACTACAGCATTTCTCTACAACATAAGCAAAAATTTTTTCGTACAGTTCGATGAATGACGAGTAATTAGGAGGAGCTTTGAAAAGCGTGCGGATAAAAGCTGACATCACATTCAAACCTGCCACAAGAAAGGACAGAATAATCACGTCAGAACTGAAACAAAATCCGCTGAAGCACTTCTGGGTCAAAGCAACTGGTCTATCGTAATGCCCAGGAATCCTCTCAGTCACTGAAAAATTTGTCTCATGTTCTTGATGAAAATGTCGGAGCTGGGCTCAAGAATTAGAACTGTTATTGGAGATGATGTCATTTCTTCTATTCAGCAACTGCGAAAGCCCCAATCCTTCGTTTTAAACGGTAAAGAAACCCTGTTATATGTGTCAGTCTTGATTGTGTTGACTAATATGTGCAATGTGCTGAAGAGAATTTTCTGACATGTGCGAGATGGAATAAGTGCAGAAAATTAGCAAAAAAGAAGTTTTTGGTAGTGAGTAATTCGTTTCATTTTTTCTCTAACTTATGGCATTAGAGCAGAAACGCGTATCAATCAGCCCAGTTCGATCCAGTTCAACCCAGAAAAATATTAGAGACACACCTGGATTAAGACTACCTGCCCTTTCGAGGGGTATTCGGAAGCCCACGCATGGCAAAATCGTCCTCAAGGGTGTACCGCATACCAGAAGCAGGATAGTGGCTCTGAAAATCTTACGCTAATCGTTGCAAAAACCCCCTTACAAAGTCACTAACCGTTTCAATTGGACCCCTAGATCCCGAGTGGTCCCGAATGACGCTCAAAGTCCTAGGAATGGAAAGAAACAGAGCGAGTAGATATAGCAATGACCCAGTGAGTCCGAGGTAAAACGAATATCCCTGACGTTTCTTGAAAAAAGAAGGATTAGGCCATGGACTGCTTCTCGAGGCCCGGTGCGAAGAAATTGTGACAAATGTTAGGCATGTCGTCAAGGAAAAAAGAAAGGAGTTTAATAACACACCAACAGCCATCCCCACTGTGAAAGGAAAGCAACGGAAATGTGTCTAAACGGCAAAAACGAAAGAGTTTTGGAGCATTTTTTAATCACCATTTTGACCATCCTATAGTCATTGGGAAAAACGTTTTTGGAGGTGAACAAATGCTTGTTTGTTGAGTGCCTTCTTCTAGGAAGTCACCTGCACTGTGTTCAAATTTTGAAGTCTGTGGACATTTTCGCTCCGGACCCTAGTTCAACAACTCACTTCATATATGCCGCTAACAGAGACATGATGGAAGCGATATTCGACCATATGTGACAAAATCATAAAAGCTATACAGCATCCAATGGAGATCAATGCTAAGAAGTAGTCTTTCTGAGAATGTCATTTATGACAAACTTGAAGATTACCTGCCAGCGCTACAAGTCCGGAAAATATAATATGTACAGCTTTCTTCAGATTAGCATTACGAGAGAACAGGTACGACAGCAGAGCTAACATGGCACAAAGCTGAGCAGTTAGAAAAATGTACAACAACGTAGTCTGCCACGCTGAAATGCACTGGTGTAGGACATAGGCATGAAATGAAGAAAACAAGACAGTAACGAATGACATCATATCCTCCTCATGAAAAATTCATGGAAAATTGCCCCATCACACGGCTATCATACAACGCAAACACATGCGCGTTTGGAATGGATGAACACAAGCAGACCTCAAGAAATGTGTTCTCAAAGACTTACCATAAAAAGTTGGCGCACGAATATTGATCATATCGTCACTAATGGGAATATTTGTTTCATCTACGGGATTTAGAGATGCATAGGAGCAAACGTGCATACCCGAAGGCCTAAAATAGTATTTCTTCGCACCGCACCTGCATTTGCATTTGCATTTATTCATGTTTTACGACTATCCCATTAAAACTTCTAAAAATTGCAGTGGCTTATCATGAATATACGCATAGTTCTTCTGTTGCCAATCACATTGACACCTTCTTCTTGCTGGTACCAAA